GAGAGGGAAATAGAAACATACATGAAAAGTAATATGCACAAGAATCGTATATGTTGGAACAATTTTTATGGACAGCAGTTTGGTAGTTATTAGCAAGTTGTACTGTGGTGACTTGTGTCCTGATATGATGCTGGAAGCTATTTCAAAATACCAGCAGGGTCAGCCTGGTGGACAGGTTTCAGACTCAGACTAGGAAGAAAGGCCTGGTGATCTACTTCCAAAAATTATTCAGTGAAAACCCTATGGATCACAACAGAATGGTGTCTGATATAGTGCTGGCAAGTGAGTCCCCTAGGTTGGAAGGCACTCAAATGCACAGTGGCTGCAACAATGGACTTGAACATACCAAAGATGGCACAGGACGAGGCAGCATTTCTTTCTGTTGTACACGGGGTCACCGTGAGTCAGAGCCAACTCAATGGTAACTAGCAACAGTGAAATCCTTAAAAATATTTACAATACGTGACTTCACCTTTTTACTTCGAAGACTTTACCCTAAGAAGCTTGTCGTGGAGATGGGATAACTTCTCTACAATGATGCTTATTGCAGTGGAGGAATGGAAATAGCCTCCAAGTCCAACAACAGGTACTGGTTAGAACATTGTGACTCAGAGAAAAACTATTAAAGTGACAGGGTAGGAGAATATGAAATGACATGAGCAAATGATCACTATGTATCACTAAATGAAATAACCCAAAAAACCCCAAACTATTTGCCATCGAGTCGATTCCAACTCATGGTGACCCCATGTGTTTCACAGTAGAACTGTGCTCCATAGGGTTTTCAATGGCTGTGACCTTTCGAAGTAGATCGCCATGCCTTTCTTCCAAGGTATATAAGCAGGTTACAAAACAGTTTGTGTTGTGCGATTCCTATGATGTAAAAAGATACAGAAAGACAGAGATGCTCAGAAACAGATTGAAGGTTATGTACCAAATTTTAACAACAGTCATTTTGGGTAGTGGGATTATGACAACTTTCTTCTATGGGCTTTTTCTTTTATCTTCTAAACTGTCTACAATGGAATGCATTCATTTTATAAGCAGAAAGAATAAATCAATTCTTAAAAAACAAAACCTCAATCATTTAGCTCACACCAGGCCTGTGGCTGCACCTACTCTCACTGTTTTATTCTTCTTTCACATAATCTTCAGCTCAAAGTTATTGTGGAAATCTGAATTTTTTCACTGAAAAAAACAGCCTCATTGACAAAATTTCAGCTCCTTTCACACAGAAAGAGGGTTCCTGGGGCTAGTGGTGATCATAAGACTCTTGGGGGTGGGGGGTCCTTGCTCCATTAGTAATGAGGATGCAGCAGGGTGGGCCCCCAGGTGAGGGAGTTGCACAGAACGCCCATGTCTCCCGCAGTGTCCCAGCTGCTCTGGAACAGAGCTGTGAGCCTGGAAGGCAGGAGGTGGAGTCCAGAAATGGTGATGAGGGAGAGCAGATTATGTATTTTTAAGATCTTTTTATACAGACTGAGACTGCCCACTTGGCAATATCTCATAAACAGAGCTCCTCTCTCTTTCTGGGCCTCAGTTTCCTCGCCTGTAAAAAGAGGGGTTCTCTCACTTTGGTGCGCACTGGAATCGTCTGGGAGTTAATAAGAAACAAGGTGGTTCAAAGCGATCTACAGATACAATGCAATCCTGATCCAAATTCCAACAGCATTTTGTTTGTTTGTTTGTTTGTTTAGTAAAGCAAAAGAAAGTTTTATTCGGCATATATTCAAAAGGGTAGAAGTGGGAAACGGACAACCATGCTGCCAGAGCCATGTCTGTTCAAGTCCAAAGAACAGTTACAGAATAGGCAAGAGTGGGAAAACAGACAAGCATGCTGCCACAGCCATGTCTGCCCCAAGTCCAAAGAATATTACAGAATAGGCAAGAATGGGAAAATGGACAAGCATGCTGCCACAGCCATGTCTGCCCAAGTCCAAGGAAATATCACAGAACAGACAAAAGTGGGAAAACAGACAAGCATGCTGCCACAGCCATGTCTGTCCAAGTCCACAGAACAGTTACAGAATAGGCAAGAGTGGGAAAACAGAAA